ATCTATTTTTTAGGAGGTTATCCATTGGGCTCTCTGTGTGATCCCTACACAGCTGCTCAGTGAGGACGATTCATTCAAAGATGCCTGGGCCTCCAGGTGGGCCCTGTGCTCACTGATGGAGACTGAGCTGCTCTGTTTTCTCTGTGCGGGCAGAGTGCCCTGAGCGGGACCTCTGTGCTGTCTCAGCAGGTGCTTCTGATCCAGTCTCATCAGTCTGGGTGTGACATTGGACATGGAGGTCACTGTGCATTTACTATTGCAACATCTTCACTTCAGGTTAAATTAACTTAATTAATTATTCAAGTATATTTTTGCACCTCCCACTGATCAGGTTGGCCCCTGGGATTGAGATGTTACAGTGATGGCTACAGTATATCAGAATCACAGTATGTGTGAACCAGACCGTGGATGGTGAATAGAGACAGTGACCAACAGACTTGAAGAAACCAGGTGGGATGGCAGGGCTTTGGGCCATTGGGCAGTGTTTTCTGGGTCACCAGTAGAAGGTGCTGTGGCACTGCCCTGTGGCATCAAAGAGCTGCTCATTGAGAAGCATTCACTCCTAGGAGACTGGGACTGAGGCTGGGCCTGTGCTCACTGATGTGTTGTCTCAGCAGGTGCTTCCTCCCTGGGTGTCCTGAGGGGTGAAGCAACCTTGCATCCCCGCAGTCTGGGGTGAGCTGAGCTGCAGCACCAGGCTCAGGGAGGGGCTGGCAGGCACTGGGTGGGCACATTTGCATGGAAGCCCCTCCTCTGGCAGAGGGTGGGGAAGAAAAGGAGGCCTGGGGCAGCCCAGCCCACTGTGGGCTCAGGGGCTGTGACCATGGCCTGGACTCCTCTCCTCCTCATGCTCCTCTCTCACTGCACAGGTAGGACAGGCCCTGGGGACCAGGCTCAGTGCCCCAGTGTACTCCCCTCCTGCTCCATCTCCTGAGAACCTTCCCTGGTCCCTGTCCCACCCCTGACAGTGTCTGTGTTTGCAGGTTCTCTCTCCCAGCCTGTGCTGACTCAGCCGCCCTCCCTCTCTGCCTCTCCTGGAGCCTCAGCCAGACTCACCTGCACCCTGAGCAGTGGCTTCAGTGTTGGTGGCTACCGTATACGCTGGTTCCAGCAGAAACTAGGGAGCCCTCCCCGGTTTCTCCTGAGTTATAAATCAGACTCAGATAAATACCAGGGATCGGGTGTCCCCAACCGCTTCTCTGGATCCAAAGACACCTCGGCCAACGCGGGGCTTCTGGTCATCTCTGGGCTGCAGCCTGAGGACGAGGCTGACTATTACTGTGCTACAGCTCATGGCAGTGGGAGCAGCTATAGTTACTCACAGTGTCTCAGATGACAAGGAAGTGAGACAAAAACTCCTGGCCCTTAGATTTTGACTCTAAGCCTCGTGTCAGGGAGAAGCTTCGGTGGCACATCTGTGAGGTGGACTCCTCTGCAGTGGGTTATGTCCACGAAAGGAGGAAAGAGCCGCACACAATATGAACAACAGCACAGGTGTCCCACGGACACAGGCTGGTTGGTAATAAAGCCTCCTGACCTTCCCCAGTGTCTGCAGTAAATTTTAACAAGAATTAATATTTCTAAGTAAAAATATCAGCCCTTTCCTACCATTGTGTCTTGTTTCCTACTCACACAGACCACTTGCCTTCTGACACTTTGGTCTCCAAATGTGTGGGGACTTTTCTTCCCAACAGCAATTCTCTGTGACACCTGCTGGTCTTACAACATAACTCAGTTCTCACACTATCTGCCTGCAGGGGGGGGGGAGGGGGGAGGTCATACCCACAGTTAAAGGGCCAGTTCCTCAAGACTACCCACTCAGGTGCCAATCACAGCAGGGGGTCCCCAGGTTTGACACAGCATTTGGCTATAACATAAAGATTCCCATGATCTTGCTCTTGGTTTGATTCACTTGATTGATTAGTTTGCTCCCTCCCCCCGAGCTCTTCTCCCTCCTTTTGCAGAGGGGGGTCAGAGAATTCCAGGTTCTCATCAGGCCTCTGTATCCCAGTGACTCTCCTCATCCAGGAGCCACCCTGAGTCATCATATTACAACAAAAGGCAGGCTTGTAACCCAGGAAATTACATGGGTTTCAGGACCCTGTGCCAGGACTCTGAGTTCATGACCATTATATGTATTTTCCATGAACTCACAGTACAGTGTCCACAACTAAAATAATGACCGAGACAGTCATGTTCACCCAAAAATTCATGTCAAAGTGTGAATCTGCCCTGGCCGGTTTGGCTCAGTGGTTAGAGTGTCGGCCTGAGGACCAAAGCGTCGTGGTTTGGATTCCAGCCAAGAGCAGGTACCTTGATTGTGTTCTGGTCCCTGCCCTGGTCAGGGTTGTGTAAGAGGCAACCAATACCAATCAATGTGTCTCTCTCAAGTGATGTTTCTCTGTCTTTGTCTGTCCCTCCCACTCTGTCTGAAGATAAATGGAAAAATATCCTTGGGTGACGATATTAAAAGAAACAAAAAGTGAATTTTGTGTTACTAAGGACATAGCTTCTATGATAGTCAGTGTTCGCCCTGGTCAGAGACACCATGTTCCCCTCTGAACAGACCTACAGGAAGACGGTCACAACTAGTGCAGACTCCCAGGGAGAATCCCTCACTGCAGCTCCTCCTCCCCTGCAGCTGCTCCCTCAGCCCCTCAGCTCCCTGGGCTCTGCAGTCTTAGCTCCATCTCCCCCTGAGGGCTGCAGAGACAGTGACAGGTTCTCCCTGGGTGTCCATTGCCCAGGCTCCCTCTCTAGGAGGGTGATTAACAGAAATTAATCAGCATAAAATTCCTCTCTCATCTTATTCTCACCTCAACTCCAAACTGTATTCGTCCACTCGCCACCACCCTCAGTCAGTCTTTAATACACTACAATTACTGATTTTTCCTTAAAAAGATGTGTTCAGTCAACCTTTAAGTATTTGCACACTGGAGCTACTGTTTTATTTATTTTTCCTCCTCCAGAAGTAATGGGGTGGGGCCCTACATGTCAGCTTTTTGATGGAACCAATTTTTTCCTTGTTCCTGAGAATATTTGTTTCCTAAGAACTTCAGGACCAACTCAGCCACACACATTGGGTCCAGATTAGCCAAGTCCCAGGCATGAGCCTTTTTCCAAAGAAATGCAAACACTCTCTGCTGGTCACCCCAGGGAGACATCTGAGGCACAGGGCACTGTGGGCAGGAGTGGTGTCAGGGGCAGGAAGGAGGGACTGTGTGCTCACCCTCCCTGGGCTTCCTGACCCACAGCTGAGGATCCTGTGCCTCAGGGATGAAGGTGGACAGATTTCTCTCACCCCACACGTCCTGGACTCTGATTAAGTGGAAATGTTATTAGAGCTAATTGGCTCCAAATTCCTCTCTTCTGCCTAAATTTCATCCAGGTCACAGGAAAGTACCCTCCAGACACTGGCCTCTTTAGCTCCAGGCTCCAGGACCCTGAGGGTCTTACAGAGAACCAGCCCCAGGGACAGGTTTGCACAGAGAATCACACTCTGGGGACGGAGAGTATATAAGAGGGACAGGAGGCCACTTGTCCTCATGCTCAGACCCTGGGCAGAGACCACCCGAGGGTGCAGGGTTCTTCTGCCGAAGGAGGAGGCAGATTATCATTGTTACAGAGCTGAGCACAACACAATGCCACCAAGATCATCTGTTCCATGGGGAAAGGTGACACATCTGTCCTCCATGCCCCTGCCTGGCCATCACTCCCCTGGCCCTGCCTGTAATCAATGCCAGCTCAGGACGTTGCTTCTAATGTCACTTGTGCTATGAAAATGAAAGTCTTCATGCTCTCAACTCTGCTATCTCTCTGGGGTCAATGAAAATATCTCTGCTTGAGGATATGGTTCCTCCAACGCAAACAGAATGACGTGTTTCCAGAACAGAACAGCCCCACAGTGCTGAGTGGGCTCAGGGACGGAATAAGTGCTGTAGCTGTGACCCCAGAGAACCAGGTGGCCCTCTGCACAGCACCCGTATGTCCCCTGACACATGTTTGGGCTTCACTAACTGTTCTCTAGCTCTGAAACCATAGGGAGGCTGTGTTTCTATTTATTTATTGTTGTCTGTGTTCTCACCTGGTTCTAGAGCTCTGTGCAGCCTCTGCATTCCCAGCACCGCAACGGCTGCCCACTCACCAGGTCTGAACAGTGTCCTTCCTCAGGAACCTGTACGGCGGGAGATCAGCATGTGACAGATGCCCTGCAGGGAGGGAGCAGCACAGAGCTCAGTGAGGACAGCACAGACCCCCGTCCCAGGGAGGAGGAGAGGTGTCCCCCCAGGTGACAAACAGGTGCCCTCCCACATCTCCCTCAGGCCCACCTGTGCAGTGAGCCGGGAGGTGAGGAGAATCGCCCTCCTTGGGGAATCACAGATTTAAACGCGGAGATAGCACGAGGGTCTCGTTAGAATGGCTAAAGCTCCACACACTGCTCCTCCAGATGCTCCCAGTGTAGTCGTTGGTCACAGGCGCTTCCTTGGGATCTGGAGGGAAGAACCTGATAGATCCACGCAGGGAGATTGTGATGTGGATGTGACAAGATCCTCCATGTGTGACGGCTGCCCTTGACTTTCAGTGTCCCATCGCCCTCTGTCCCGCCATGGAAAATATACAAACTTGTCCTCAGCAGGGCCAAGGCAGAGGCTGTTGTTCAGAGATTCCACTTCATAGTCCCCAGGAAAGGTGCAATCCACTGGGGGTCACAGATGGCCAGGAGGCAGCAGCTCCAGCCAGAGGACGCCATGCCCCGGGCTTCCACCAAGGGGCGCCCGTGCTCTGCGGATCCTCAGAGGTGGCCTCTCTCTGCCTCTTGCCTGTTTCCTGGTTCACCTTTGGGCTGGAGCCCTCTCCCTCCTACTGTGTCCTCAGCTGGAGCCCTGCTGGGGCTGAAGGAGGGGCTTGCACAGCCTCCAGAAGGGAAAGATTTGCATAGACTTCCCACCCCCAGGGTCAGGGGGACATATAGGATGTGTGAAGGCTCAGGCCTGGCTGTGGGGCTCAGGGAGCAGAGTCTGGGGCGTCTCCACCATGGCCTGGGCTCCCCTTCTCCTCACCCTCCTGGCTCACTGCACAGGTGGGGCTGAGGGAATTGTGGGAGGGCACCTGTTTGTCACCTGGGAGGACAACCTCTCCTCCTCCCTGGGACAGGGTCTGTCCTGTCCTCACTGATGTCTGTGCTGCTCCCTCCTTGCAGGGTCCTGGGCCGAGGTTGTGCTGACTCAGCCCCGCTCTGTGTCGGGGTCTCCAGGACAGAAGGTCACCATCTCCTGCACCCGCAGCAGTGGCAACATTGGGGGCTCCTATGTGTACTGGTACCAGCAGCGCCCGGGCAGTGCCCCAACCACTGTGATCTATGAAAATGACAAAAGACCCTCCGGGGTCCCGGATCGGTTCTCTGGCTCCATCGACAGCTCCTCCAACGCCGCCCACCTGAGCATCTCTGGGCTGCAGCCCGAGGACGAGGCCGACTACTACTGTCAGTATGAGGGCAGTGGGAGCAGCTATCGTTACTCACAGTGTCTCAGATGACGGGGAAGTGAGACAAAAACCCAGGGTCCCGAGATTGGGCTCTGAGCCTCGTGTCAGGGAGAAGCTCCTGTGGAGCATCTGTGAGGTGGGCTCCTCTGCAGTGGGTTATGCCCACGGGAGGAAGAAAGAGCCACAGACAGTATGAGCAACAGCACAGATGTCAAAGCAACACCAGCTCACAGGGTAATAAAGCCTCCTGACCATCCTCAGTGTCTGGTGTAACTTTAACAAGAATCAATATTTTTAAGTAAATAATTCTGAGTTATGTGCCCCAACTGTGTCTTGTGTCTTATTTTCTACTCACCAGAACACTTTGCTTCTAACACTTTGTCCCCGAATGTGTGGGGATTTTTCTTCCCAAAAGCAATTTTCTGTGACACCAGCTGGTCATACAACATAACTCACCTCTCACACTATCTGTCTGGAGACGGTGTCAGCCCCACAGTTAAAGGGCCAGTCCCACAGGACCGCCCCGCTCAGGTGCCAATCACAAGTAGGAGGTCCCCAGGTTTCACTCAATTTTTTCGCTATAAACCAATAGTTCCCATGACCCCTCCCTTGGCTTTGATTAACTCGGTACGTTACCTTGCTGAGCCCACCTGTGTCCTTTGCCCTCCTGCCCGTGGGGGCAGGTCTGAACACCCCAGGCTTCTGATCAGCCTCGGTCTCTCCAGTGACCCCTCCTCATCCTGCAGCCATCCTGAGTCATCATGTGTCAGCAAAAGCAGGCCTGTCACTCAGGACATGACAGGAATTTCAGGAGCCCTGAGCCAAGACCACGGGGCCGAGACCAACACGTATTTTCTATTATGTCACAGCACAGTGTCCGCATCTACAAATGATGACCTGAGGGTCATGTTCTCCCCGAAACCAGTTCCCTGAGGAGCACGCACAGGCGGTCGGTAAGTAGCCCGGCAGATTCCTGAAAATGTAATACAGGGTGGGGCCAAAGTGGGTTTACAGTGGTTCGCATAGAAAATACCTTAATTAATAAACAATGAAACAAGAATAAACTCTGTGCAGTCACAACTCAAGGACATTTTGTTGTTTCCACTTCTGGCCATTTTTTTGAAAAAGTTGCTATGAAAGATCATATACACATGTTGGTGCGCACGTATACTTTTCTCCCTTTAGGATTAATTTTCAGGAATGAACTATCAACACTGATGATTATAGTTTTGTTTGTTATTCAAATGATGTTAATAACAATGACTCTTCCCCCTCCTGCTGGTGTCAGAAGGTCTGCAGCAGGTGAGGTGGCAGCCTGGTCCTGCAGGAAGGGGACCAGCTCAGGGCAGGAGGCCGAGGCTTGAAGAGGAGTGAGCACTGCCTCAGGGCCAAGCATCCTTTTGCAGTGGGGACCTGCACCTGCCTCCTACAGACCACAGCAGGGAGAGGGGAGAACGGAGGCTGAGGAGGAAATGACGGTCATGCCCACGAGAGTCCTTGAACGAGATAGGAGAATGTTTACTCTTCAAGGGGAGACAATCCTTGGGAGATTTTTAAACACAAAGTTTCCTGAATAGGGTCTTTGTGCTTGAAATATCCTTCTGACTATGGTGTAAAGAATGAAGTAGAGTGAGGAAAAGGTTGAGAAAAAGGACAGTTTTTGCTCTCTGAGCTTGAGAGTGGCTGTATCTAGCAGAGCTGTGAAGAAAGAGCTCTGACCTCGGGCCCAGGGCGCAGGACAAGGGGGTAAACTGGAGCTCCAGGTGGCTAATGATCTGTCCCCAAGGTACTGGTTGTAGGACTGGCAGGTGACGGGTACAGACTGGGTGCCATGGGTCCAGGTGGGAAAGAGAAGGAGGAGGGAATTACCCTCCAGGTAGTTACAGAAGGAACCACAGGGAGCAGAGAGCTGGTGGAACAAATTCTGAGGACAAAAGACAACTTTCATGAGTAAATCAACTGTGAGTTCAAGGTAGTTGTGGGAACATTTACTCACTTCTCAGTGCAGTAAGAGTCTGTGAGATAAGCAACTGTCCACCAGATGTTGATGCAGATCTCAAGGATCCACCACGGGATCACGTAAATTGAATATTGAACCCCTCAATCCCTCCAAGGACCCGGGGGAATCTCATGAGGAAGAGTCATGGGCGTGTGAGCTCTGTGGTGACAGGTGACTCTGCCCTGGGGAAAGGGCATGAAGGACGCTGAGAGAGTGACCTCAGATGTGTGTGCTGGTGTGGCCGTCGTGCTAAGCCCACATGTCCCTCGGTGATCCCACAACTGCAACACTGCAGATCCCCGTGCTTCCTTCACTTTTCCATCGGAACAATTCCTTCCGCTAATCATTAGGAATATTAAAACACAGATCAATTTGCATGAGGGCAGTTGGAATCCACTTCTCCAATGTAGAAGAGTGTGGAACAGTAGGTGTACATATATGTACCTCACACCCGATGAGGAAATAGGGGTTTATACCCTTGTCTGTTCAGCCAACAGCATATGACAGTATGACTTAAATGAGTACTGATGGCCCTGGGCCATTTTGTACAGTGGTTACATCATTGGCCTGAGGTCCAAAGAGTCGCAGATTGAATTCTGGTCAAGGGCATGTACCTCGCTTGCGGTTTGGTCCCAGCCCTGGTCCAGTCCTGCCAGAGGCCACCAGTCTATGTCTCTCTCTCTTTCTCTCTCTCTCTCTTTCTTTCCCACTCTTTCTGAAGATAAATGGAAATATATCCTCTGGTGAAGATGTAAAAATATATATACAGATGCTACTAATAAACTCAAAATAATTAGTGAGAAATATAAGGAGATGAAATTACAATATAAAAATTACACTACAAGATATTCATGACTTAATTATGCCTAAAACTGCAGATTTTACTTACAACCATCAAATTATCTTCATATAATAGGAGAAGTTTTTACACTGTTCATGGGCAAAGGTTAAGCCTACAAACTCTATTAATTTTCCTAATGTAACTAATTTAAATTGAGTGTCTACAAACTTACGAACAATGATATATCTTCTGGAATTTTGGCAGAACTGCTATTTTTGGACATAGCATGGAGGATTTTTGTTCCTTACAGTTAAGCATTCACCACTGTTCCGCCAGAAGAGCCCTTGGAAGGCCTAAAATACAGGTCAACTGCCCCCCGGGATGCTCCGTGACACCAGGCATGATGCACAGGTGAGCCCTTTGATTTTTCTACAATCTACTGGGTGACTGGGGATTCACAACATAAGTATTTATACACGTACATATTTACAACTCTCACTGTAGGAGACTCCTCATAGTGGTGAGATACGATAGTAATCCCCTACCAAGTTTCCAAATCACAGTTTCTGGAAATCAGACCGTGTGTGTGTGAATAGAGACAGTGACCTGCTGAGCTGCAGAAACCAGCTGGGCTCTCAGCTCTGGGCCATGGGCAGTGTGTGCCCTGTGCTCAGCAGGGGGCGCTGTGGGACTTCCCTGTGTTCTCCCCCAGCTGCTCAGTGAGGACCTTTGACTAACAGGACTCTGGGCCTGGTGGCTGGGCCCTGTGCTCAATGATGGGGACCCACCCACTCTGTCCTCTGTGTCCTGTAGAGTCTATTGAGCCCCCTTTTGTGTTGTCTCAGCAGGTGCTTCCTGCCAGGGCTCTCCCAAGGGGTGAAGCCACCCTCCACCCTCCTCAGTCTGGGTGTGAGCTGAGCTGCAGCACCAGGCTCAGGGAGGGGCTGGCAGGCACTGGGTGGGCACATTTGCATGGAAGCCCCTCCTCTGGCAGAGGGTGGGGAAGAAAAGGAGGCCTGGGGCAGCCCAGCCCACTGTGGGTTCAGGGCTGTGACCATGGCCTGGACTCCTCTCCTCCTCGTGCTCCTCTCTCACTGCACAGGTAGGACAGGTCTTGGGGACCAAGCTCAGTACCCCTGTGGATTCCCCTCCTGCTCAGTCTCCTGAGAAACTTCCCTGGTCCCTGTCCCACCCCTGACAGTGTCTGTGTTTGCAGGTTCCCTCTCCCAGCCTGTGCTGACTCAGCCGCCCTCCCTCTCTGCCTCTCCTGGAGCCTCAGCCAGACTCACCTGCACCCTGAGCAGTGGCTTCAGTGTTCGCAGCTATGGTACATACTGGTTCCAGCAGAAGCCAGGGAGCCCTCCCCGGTATCTCCTGTACTACCACACAGAAGAATATAAGCACCAGGGCTCGGGGGTCCCCAGCCGCTTCTCTGGATCCAAAGACACCTCGGCCAATGCGGGGCTTCTGGTCATCTCTGGGCTGCAGCCTGAGGACGAGCCTGACTATTACTGTGCTATAAGTCATGGCAGTGGGAACAGCTATCGTTACTCACAGTGTCTCAGATGATGAGGAAGTGAGACAAAAACCCCTGGGCCCCGAGATTGTGGCTCTGGGTCTCCTTTCAATGAGAAGCTTTTATGGAGGCATCTGTGAGGTGGGCTGCTCTGCAGTCAGTTATGTCTGTGAAAGAGAGAAAGAACAATGCACGGGGTCTCTGTGAGGTGCCCTTCCTTGTTTATCCTCCAAACTGATGTCCTGTCAAAGACCTCAATACACCCAAAATCATCCACCCCACCTTCATCCCCCGGTCCGATCTCAGAACTGGGCTCCTAGGGCAGCTTCAGGGCCCCCAGCGCAGAGTCCAGCACCTGCGGGAGCAGCATCGGCTCTGGTGCGCAGTGAGGTCCTCCCTTCACACCGCATCCTGTGCTCATGGAGCCCTTTCCCCTGGATGAGGGCTGGGGCTCAGCCCACAGAGGAGGAGCTGGGGGAGACCTGAGCGCCCAGGGAGGCAGGTGCATGGGCTCCTTGGCCCTTTTGCTCCCTGCCCAGAGGAAGGTTCTGACACCACTCCCCCCATTAGTGGAAAGGACGGTGGAGTTAGGGGAGACGGTCCACGCTGAGGGGGTCACAGCAGTGATTGCTGAGCTGAGTGGCCGTGAGGCTGCAGTCTAGCAAGGCCTGGGTGTGGCCCTGCCTGAGTCTGTGCCCCACCAACATCAGCATCCTCCCCAGGTCCTGGGTTCTCCTGTGATGCCAAGGGACTGT